TTTATTTCAGGATACCCGCTTCCACAAGGTTAATATACATCTTGTTTACTAATGCATACACATTGTTCCATGGAATTAGCCTAATCCTGCTGTTAGTTGACATGCCACCTGTATTACATACGAACTTCACAAGAACTGACTTTTATTATCTCTTCCCCACAGACAACTTTTTTGTTGCTGTAACCAAGAAATTTTTCCATTTTTTTGTAGGAAATGAGGAAAAGGTCTGCTAGTTTTGGCATAAAACAGCAGCGTGATGAACACATAGGATAGAAAAGTATTAAAAGCACATGAGAATAACAGGAATTAAAACAGACCTTTTAGTGAAGGAAAAAGTTCAAAGAAGTGATCACCAGGGATGAATCAAGGGGAGAAGCTGTAAAAAAAAATGAGCTAAACTGGAACATATAAGTGGGGGCCACGAGGTGTAGGGCCCTGAGAACAGAGGCCAATTTTGATGCACAGCACAAGAGGCACTGAAGTGACTTAAGAAGGTAACTGTATAATTAAGAGATCCTCAAACATATTCTGAAATACGTCATGACTGGGAGTCAAGGTGAGATAACAGAACAGCAAAGCCATACTGCAGGGACTACCAGCTTGTTGCTTTTCCCTATACTAGTGTCCAGAGCTTTTATATTGAGCTGGAAAGCTTCAAAAAGCAAGCAAACATGGGCAGAAACATGATCTTCCGTCCCACCCACCCCCACCTCCATTTTCAAGTTACTCTCTATAGTTCTGTGGAAGGAAGTCAGATCCTTTTGGAAAATGCCAAGGAAATACATCCATTGGGTAGGAGCAATTTAAATATTTGATGGCTAATATATTAAATGTTAATTGAATATTACAATGATTTTCTCCCCTGGACAGCACACAATTAACATTTAATTTGTTATAAAATATTTAAAGTTATGAAATATCTCAGGGCAGCTGAAATGTCTCTTCCACCCAATTGTCTTGGGACAATGCTTTAAGGGGACAAAAGGTCCCCTTAAAAAAAAAAAAAAAAAAAGCATTTCAAGTTCCTCTAGCAATCCATACAAGCGGCTTGGGAAAAGCCTTTAGGATTGGCACAGGGTTCAAGAACATAGGGCACACAAGGGAACAGAGTTCAGACTGGAGGGGATCATACACAAGCAAGATTAGAAGTCCTCATGACTACCCAGCTCTGAGCTTGAAAAGTGCTGCGGCAGCTACTCCATTTCAGAGAAAAGCAAATATTGTGCATTTAGACCGGGCATTTATCTTAACAATATTATTTGTTTCAGAGGTGCCAGTGAGGGATTGGAATCCTGACTGCTCTGCACTCTTTTGCTCCAAGGCTTATTGACAAGAGCTGTACGCAGATGATAGAGCTGCTGCTTTGGCTGTGCTCGACACCTCACTAAGCACAGCTTGGGATGTTAAAATTAAGCTCGTTGTTTAGAATCTGAACATGAGTTTATCTAGTAGGACGTAGCATTCAGAATTGAACAGCCCAGCATTTTGGAAACCTTACTCTTGTTCCTTGTTTAGAAAGGTGGGTAGGAAACCTTTGGTAATACTTCAGCATGGAAGGAGACCTATTAATTAGGTTAACAGTGCATCATCCTTCAACAGAACTAGGAAAGCACTGACTCAATAGTCCTGACTTATTTTTTATTGGAAGAGGAGAAAAACTGTTTCAATATGTATCATTCCGGAAGCAGAGACGATTCATGTAAAAGCAACCAAACCTCTACCACAGGCACCCTTAAAGAAATGACTTGCATTGCTAAGAGATCTTAAATAACACCAGGGGTAGAGGAAATTCACCTACTCACCTCCATTTTGCGTAGTCATGCCTTACCCAGCACTTCAGAAGGAATACCAGCTTTGTTAAGCTCAGCTCTTTATGCAGCTTCTTTGAACTTTCTGACTTTCCTGGGCTCAGACCTTTCATTGACTACTTTCTAAAGATCTGCTAAACAAAGTGAGCCTTAGGCTCATAACAATGAATTATTTCCACCTGGAAGACTTCCCCATTCCAGAGGCTCCTCTTATTTGTTGCTTAGAAATATTTGACTAGTGGCAGGAGAAAACAGATGCCTTCAGTTCATGCCTATGGAAAACCGTGCTTGTGAAAAAAATTCAGGTCTTTACTGGATGGAGATCTCCTTTCTTCCTATTCCTCCATAGCCATATTGTCATTAATTACCACAGTGAATCACCACCACTTGATGCTCAGGTATCCAGTGTTGCAGAAAAACTGCAATGCTTTCTTGGGAGAATTGATCATTTATCTATGTACCAAAACTGGTACAGCACTATAAGACAAAGAGAGAGCCCTTGGACTGCTGAAGTATCTTTTTTCCCCTTTACAACACAGAAAAGAGAGTTATAGAAGATTATATAGAATGTAAGGATGAGTATAAGCTCAGAGAACTTACAGGATGGTAATGCTGTACATCTGAGAGCATGATCATGGTAGACTGCTGCAAGCAATGAGTCTGGCAGCCTATTTGGTGACAACTGATGGAGGCCACACCATATGTATAAACAACACCATGATACTGGGGATCAGGGCCCCAAAATCTAAGTTTTGCTAAAAATCAGTGCTGAATCCTTGACTCAAAGAGACTGACATCACATAATTGAGCTCAGGATGTTGGGATGCAGCCTTTTTGATCTAATCTGTTGGAAAGAAGTTCTCCCATTTGCCTTCTCTTCTAAAGTCTAGTACTGTGAAAGGCCTTAGAGGACTTGTGCAGGACTGTTAGATATATAGAGTTTAAGAACATTTTAGATTATGTCCCAGTAAAAGGTGAAAGATGGCAGACTCTAGTAGTTTGGTAAGGAACATTTCCTTAGAAAGCAGATTTTATTACTACAGAATGATTCTGTCCCTTCCTATCGCTGTCACAGGACTACCAAATAATCAAACACCTTTTCGGTCATGAAAAGAGCAGAAACAGGAAGCTACAGATGTCTATGGAAGTACTAAGGACAAAACTGATAGGATTTCTCAGAACTAGGTAGAACATCAGAATAAGGAAGAGGTGATGCAGCATAAGGATTAGAAGCATGAGTAGATGCAGGCATGGAGAATCTAGGACAACCTAGTAATGGGTTTTACTCATTTCATTTGCCACCCAGATCTCTGATCACATCATGCTTCTTACGTGACTCAAGTCAGATTTCCCCCTTGTTTCACTCTTCTCTCACCCCAGATGGATTTCCCCAAGCACAGCCTATTCTCCTTTTACAGCAACTGCTGCTTCTGCCACTTACCTGTCCAGAGGACCAAGTCTTGTGGCAGCTTCCTGTAACACTGTAGTACATCAGTGTCATACCTAATTACCATTCTCAGAGGAGTGAGCCCATTAACAAGCTGCACTGAAACCAGATCTGCATACTAATTAGGGAGCTGCCTTGGAGGATATTAATTAGGGGTGACACTTTCAGGGTAAGTTCTTCTTTCCTTCCTCATAACCTATTTGAGACATGGCTGGGAAATATGACTACAATGTAAACAGAGACAAGATGGAGCATTACACAGACCACCTGTTGGTGCATCAGATAATAACAAAAATTTACAGCGATACTCATTTTAGGACAAACTTCTGTCTCAAGGAAGATTCTAGAAAGCTCCTAAATGAATTCTTCTAACATCCCTCCTAACCTAGAAAAATGCAATGAAGCTTGTTCCTTCATCTCTGCATAGGGAATTCCTTTTTCTCTTTTCATTTACATTTCCCTTGGTCTTTAATAAAGGCCTCAAAAGTCCCACAGCCTAATGAAATTTTCTTGCCTTGGCTCTGACACAGCTGCTCCTTGAGTTCTCGCTTCTGTTAACCACCACGAGGCTTGTACAGCCTCACACAGCCCTGAGCACCATCTACTTTCACTGCCTCAACCCCAATCCCATCTCCCATAGCATCGCCTTGCACCTACAGCAGCCATGGACAGACAGTGGAAAAGCAAGCATACGACACTTCCAGCTCAAACTAGAAGCTGATTTTACAGTACTCCATTAGATTTCATTAAGATTGGAGGTAGAAGAACAAGCAGCAGGAGTAAGAGAATTCCTCAGCAAGACAGACTCTGTTTAGAAACGTGTGTCACTCCTTCAGTGCACAGCTTCATATAATGTGTTTGTGTACAATTCAAGCATCTGTCAATGCATCAGTATGCAAATAATTTCACCTGCCACTAAGTGGCTGCCACCTCACTTCCCATATTGTGAATGCATCCCATGCTGGTAGCTTCTGGGTGCCTCACAAAATGAAGGAACGAGCAGAACAACTGCTAGACCAGATCATGTCTGCAAGCCATGCAGTGCAGGGTCCCAACTCCAACTGCGAGCAGCATAAGAAGCTGCAGAGGAGAGTGTGCCATTATGCAATTAACAACCTGCAGCTGGAGGAAGTTCCCTCCCGAATATCATCAGCCATTAATTGGCTGATACTCTCAGGCACGATGGTTTGTATCCCTTATGCAGTTTTAGATTGCTTAATGTAATTGTGAATGCTCCCACTGCCTGTTCCTATATCCCCCCGCTTCTGAGTTCTGCTGAGCTCCTGACTCCTGAGATTATCAGACAGCAGTGAGTACCACAGGTTGGCAACTCAGTAAGATGTACCTTTCCCCCTTCCTACATACATCCATCTCTAACATCACCATTTTTCACCTCTAATACAAATTACTTCACACGCTTAAATTCTCAGCCATATGATTTACTTCAGTTTCTTTCCTAAGAGGACATGTTCTAGATGCTCATTTGTGAGGCAGACTTTAAAACATTGGTGTCAGAAACAACAAAAACAAGTGAGTAAAATAGGCAGCCCAGATTTCTTCTCTACATGTAAAAAAAGATAGATTTTTTTTTTCTGCCATTTCCTGTTAGCAATCACTTACTCCAAATCCCTTGATTTCCATAACTGAAATCAAACTGCACGGATAGCTTTTTTGGGTCAGCAGCTGAAAAAGCCGACAAAACACTGCTCTTTTTGTTATTTTCCCATCAAGATAAGTTCACTTACCTGCAGCAGCCAAAGCAAAAGCACAGGTACTCCACAAGGGAAGATTAGCTAGGGTGCTGGAGCACACACACCATCCTCTGTGGTCATAGCACAGCCCTATAGCATCAAAAAAAAAAAAAAAAAAAAAAAAAAAGCAAGGTTTGGAGCAAGAACAGATTCTGTTCACAGTCCAGTGAGCTGAGGCAGGTCCAAAGTTCATGCAAGAAGGTCACTCACCAAGATGGAACCGCCAACTCAAAACAGTATCAAATATTTGCACTGGAGACTAAAAGCAGCTCTTGGACCGATGGCAGAGGGTGAGTGTCCACCTGAGGCTGAGTGAGTTAATTAAGCCACACAGGTGACATGACTCTGCAATGAGCACGGAGCTCCATCTGTGTGTAAACCTCAGAAGCAGACAGCAACCCTTGTGGTGCTGAGCACTGTAAGATATCAGTAGGCCAAGCAAGTTGGTCTGATGTTATGAATTCCTGAAAGACTTAATGGATTGAAGCAAGTTAGGGTAACTGTTAGGGTAAATGTATACCTAGCACATTAGGGAAGATTAGTTGCCATTACTACCTTACTCCAGTTCTCTAAAATCCCTGTGTACCATTGTAGCTAAGAGTTTTTCAAGGAGTGTGTGAAACACCAGGATTCGCTTCATTTTTGTTTGGTTTATATTTTTGGTTTTTTCTCTACTTGCTGTGGATGAAATCATACACGCTTTTTGTTTCAGCAGGGTTTGGGGCTCATATCTTAAGGTCTACCATACTTTGAGGAGAGGTGAGTGGCATGACAGACAGATCTTAGCTCCTACAGGAATTCAGTTCATCTCAGACTTGCTTCTATCGAGTCTCTGCTGCCTTGCAAGGTGTACCCTGGCTCTGTCTGCACCCTCAGCTACAGATGCCTTAGAGAGCAGTCCTGAGATGAGCCTTGCCTAGCGTCCACGCTGCAAGTCTAACCCGAGGTACAGTGGAAGCATGCTTCCCACCCTATGTGGGTCCACGTGAGTCTGCATATACCTAGCATAATGCCTTGCTGCCACACACAGCCCCCAAACAGTCCCGTGGGTTGACTGTAAAGGAGCCCTGTTCACAAAAGGCATGCAGGGTACAAAGCTTTGTGCTTCTCTGCATGGCTCTTTTCCAGCGAGGAATGGGAACAGCCTGTGGATGCAACACTTTCTGCTGCATTTATCCCATGAGTGCAGGGAAGCGATGTGTTCAAAGGCACATTGCCAGTCTCCACTCCCAGAATCATCTGTATGCTAGGGATGATTTCCCCAGTGTTTTTTTTATCCAGTGCTGGTGAATCATTTCCCTGCTAGAAATGAGGTATCCAAGTATCTTCTAAACATGATTTGGAAGAGCATAGTTTCTGCCTTTGGATGATGCCAGATGGCATCAAATGATTAGTAGGTTTAATATAAGAAGCTTCCCAGAGGATGAAACTCCTAGATCTCACAAGAGGGTCTTCACTATCCCTCTGTTCCTTCCCTTCCCAAACTTCAAATTACCGTAGCTGAGCCTCTGCTGCACAACTTTACCCTCTGCTATTTTATCAATATACCCTGAACATTTTTCAGGAACAAAGTGGAAAGCATTTCCAGCAAATGCTTTTAATGTCACTTTGTTTGCCAAGAGATGCTGCCTCCCGCTTTGGTTATCATTAAGAGAAAGCATCTTTGCTTAAACAGGAAAACAAGTGATGATTTTTCCCCAAGTCGTTCATATCTCTAGCTAAGCAGCTTCTGCACTTGCTGGCAAAGAGGCATGGCCTGTGCTAAATAGAAGGAAATTTTTGGAATCTATTTTCTAAAAAGCACCCCTTTGTAAGCATCTCCTCACCTCTTCAGATAAAACCTGTTGTCAGACATCTGTCTCCCTTCTTTCAGATGAGATCAGATAGCTTGTGTGACTGGCACATTTGGGCTGCCATCCCTGCTAACATGCTGTGCTCCTTGCCCATCCCTTGTGCCTAGACTCCACCTATGAACATATTATGACCTCATAACAAGTCAGTAAGTGAGAGGTACTGAGGGAAAGCACAGCTCCCATCACAAGATGTTCACAATAACACACTGAATAACTTTCCCAATAGTGTTTATTTCCTCATGGCAGTAGAAACACGGGAAACTGAAGTAACAGAGCCTCTCCACTGCTCATTCTGAATGTCTTACCTTTTGCTTCCTCATCTTTTACTGATTCCTTCTCCTTGCACCCTTCTCTTTCATTCGTGTCTAGGCAGAAGTGAACCACTTTGCTATGCTCCTTAACTACAATTTCAGTCAAAAGACACCTGAAGATATGACTTAGCCAGCAGAGAACGGCTGGGGCTGAGACTAGGTCTCTCCTTGCCTTTATTCCTCCACCATCTGTGTGGCTAAAAGCTGTAGCAGCACATAAATGCTGTTGGTGAGTGTCATGGCTAAATTACACTAACTTTTCTATTCCTTGTCTCTGTTAGGAAAGGGTAGAACCAGGTTCCACCCCTTCCGGTGAATTGCTTTCACCTGTGCTCCCAGGGCTGGCTGTATCCCTTCACCAGGTGGTCAATCATTGGTTCAGGCCATGACTTAGCAATTCTCATACAGATGGCTTCATTTATTGAGAGTTAATATCCTGGTTCCTTGTTGATGATGAGGAATCAGAGGGAGGTGAACTTGTGCAGCAATGTAATTGCCTCTCAGTTCAAGATCCAACTGTCCTCTTTTCCTGTGAGACTTCTACCCAGCTCAGGGATGAAGGCTGCACAGCAGAAGTGGATGTCAGCAAACACTGAGGCAGCTGTGTCCTGATATGTGTGAGGAGGCTGGGCCCCTGAGGAGCTGGCTTCCATTTCAGTGCCAGACCCTTCTCCAGGCAGCAGCAATGGCAGTAGTGCTGAGTGACTCTGTTATTTTGCACAAACACGCAGATCTCCAAGCGCTTTGTAGGGTATGAAACCATTGTTGTCTCAGTTTACAGTGACTGTAAGCTCTGCAACAACAAGTTCAGCAACAGCAACTGACCACCAAGATCACCCAGTGGTTTGGAGAGGTAGGAAGCCATAGTCGTGGGAGCCATAGTCTGCTGGATTGCCTCTCTTTTGGAAAGGAAAAAAAAAAAAAGGCAAATATGAGGTTTCACAGCTCATCAAAAAATCCCAGATATGAATGAGGCTCAGTGCAATGCACCAGCACTGTAGAGATTCAGAGAAGAGCAGTAAACATGATTAAAGGGCTGGGGAAATTTATTCCCGGGGAGGAAAAGTGAGCTAAATATGTATAGCTGCCTAGCTATGCCCAGAGGAGCATACTTAACCCGCTACAAGTATTGGATGGAAGAATAATTGTCCTGAGAGGCATAGAGGTCTTACAACTATGAAGAATAGGGTGAAATTAAAAGGGTGGAGATGCAGCCTCTGATGGGCACGCTCGATAATGGAGACGCTGACCTGTCTCCCAGTGGAAAGCCTGTTGCTTCACTCATGCAGAGCTGTCTGGGAGACAATCATTCTCCAGTACTGTAGTGGACTCCGGAGGTTTTTCTGGCCCTATTTACTTGGTTTCTGCAGACTAACAGAGGTTTACCTGTCTCCATATCTTGTCGCTAGGGGTCAGCTGGGTTTTTGTTTTATAAATTCTGGTGACAGCTAAGGGATACCTGGCAAATCTGTATCTAACCAAACACCTGCCTCCAAGAACACAAAGCCACTGTGATAATACGCAACGCCTCCAGCTCTTTGCTCTAGAGGAAGAGCCATTGTTCCTTTTGTCAGAAAGCTGTGGAACCAAAATCTAACATTTCTTATCAGTAAGCAAATATTGCAGATGTTGTAAAAATGTCCTGATCACAGGGCTCAGGGTGATGCTATCTGTAAGCAGGGAAAAATACAACAGTTGTGAGAAGAGGGCATGTCGGCCTGTCAGCGTACAAAAGAGGCTCAGCAAGCACAGGTTTAACTTGTTCCAATACTTTGCAAGTTACCTTCTCCTGCTGAGTGCATCAAAAACAAATGGTCTGGGCTTTGTGCTCACGGGAACCTGGTGCCTCACCCTCTCACCTGCCTCAGGCAGTGAAAGAAAGTGTGTTTTTTGAGTACTCATCAATTTGCTCACTAAGAATACACTGTTGGAAGAAGTGTGCTTGTCTAAACTCTGGAATCAAGTATCAGTATGGAGGAGGTAGAGAACAGAGATCAAAAGCACTGCTGAGGCCAGTTTAGTGCAGGGCTGTCTTCGTGCATCTCCAGCTCTCAGAGTACCTCGTGCTTTCCATCTGTAGGATGGGGTCTGTCTCTTTGGCCATCTTTGCAAACCCAAAGTACTTTCTGCACCTACTCACGAGGGTTGTAACTACAACCTCTGATCTCCTCTGAAGTGCACACACACTACTTGGTGAGGCTGGCTGCCCTGTGTTCTGGGAGCTTCATGCTAACCCTTGTTAGCCTTCAGGCATTTTAACTGAATGGTGCATGATTTTGCTTCGTTCTGCTCTGCCCTCTTTGTTTTAACACACAGTGAGACCAATCTCTGATTACACAAGACATTCAAGGTTTGAGAATAGGTGCTGTGATCAGGAGAGGCAAAGTATGACTGTGAATGCACACAGGTATTAGAAACCAAGAAGGGGAAAGATTCCGGTTTAGGGTTTAATTAGGCAGTGGGAATGAAGTACTTATAAGCAACTTCTTCTGCACACTTACTGAGATCAGCTTTTCTTGGGAGAACACTGCCTCCGACCTGAAATAATTGCTAGTATGGGGCTAAGACAGCTGTACAAGGTAGAGATGACCAAGCCATTCTATTAGGATGCCAGTGAAAATTTCTCTTCAGAGCTCCCACTGAAGCTGGCTGTATGAAGAATCCACAGATAGCTTTGCACAAAAGATGTTCCCATAGTATGTAGAAGCAGCCTAATGTCTCCTTGTCTTTATCTCCTGTCCATCACATATCAGGCAAAAACATTATTGAATTTCTGTGTAATAATATGAGGTTTTGTGGCTCTCTTTGTGTGGGTTCAATGGCATATCCATAATCACAGATATGAAGGGTTAGTGTCATATTATCTTCCAGCAGCAGCCAAGAAGACATTATTGCTTGGTTAGATCGGCCGAGATGCTCCTGTGAACACCCCCTTCCTCATTTCAAGCTCAGCTTTAATAACAGGTCATTGCTAACCCCGTTCAGATAGCTAAAACAGGATGCCGAGAAAAAAACTCTCAAGAGGAAGGTATAGAAAGTATCTTGCCTCAGGCAAAGACCTTGTGCCAAAAGTTGGAGTCAGTACAATCTTCATCTGACACAGCCCAGCTAGGAAAGAGTGTGTGATCTGCACCTCCATGTGATAGCATCAGGAAAACATGACCCATACTTTGAGGAACATTAGGAACAGGGGCTGGTCTGATGTAACTGCCTTTGGCAAACTACTTGCTTCCTTCCTTCCCTTCTTTACTATTTTTTCATTGAGTGCAGGAAAGCCAGCCCACCTGGCTTGCAAAACCTGTCACCAGGTCTTTAAGCTGGAGGAACAAGTGTTACCTTGTCGAATGTCAGCAGCACATGTTTCTGGGAGACTGAAGGGCAGGTGGTACTGCCTTATAAATCATCTAAATATGCCTGGGGTGATAAATGCCTGCTGTATTTTGCATAACATCTGGGATAGCACAGGAGAGACCTTGGGGGCTGGGAGTGAACATTTCTGAATGTTATGAGATGACAAAGACAGAGATGGTGTCACCATATGGTCAAAGAAGCAGTCAGAGATGCCCAGTTCACTTCCTCTGAGAGAAAAGGCAACTGGTGATGCAAGAATGCACTGCAAAGAGTGTTTTTTCTGCTTGGTTTTATCAGGTTTTGACAGCATAAGAATTGCATGGTCTGAAAGGACAGAGGGAGGGTGAAAGAGAAGAAGGAAATGTGTGCCTTTCAGGTGGACTGGTTGGTTAATTTTTCTGGAGTTAAAAAGAGAAGGATCAGGAACAGCAGAAACCAGAACAAGGAAAAGGACTTCCAGGAGTGGCTACGACAGTAATAAGAATCAGTACAAGATGGTTTTGAGAACTACTCTGAAAACCAATTTGAACACTGAATTTTAACACAATTTTAACATTTTAACAAACTTCGTAGTTTTTATCCAAACTATCTTGAACCATTTAAGGGAAAAATAAAAAATTAAAAAAAAAAAATCCCATGACATGAAATCTCTTGCTGCAGAGAACATTTCTTTTTTCAACCCTCTTTGCTTCCAGCTCTCCCCCTGATATGTAATTCTGTAATTCCCACCAGCAGTGGGAGGGAGCCCAGTTGAGTGTATGTCCGACAGGTATTTGAGAGTATTATTCAGCACAGCTCTAGGAGTACTGAACTAACTCTCACATCACACTAGGTATGATTAGATCATTCTTCTTGCCCAAGATTCCAGTGCTCCAACCCATGTGCAAAGTTCATTGAATCTCAGGCACACCTGGTACCACAAAGAAACAAGATATGGAGAAATCTCAGGAAACCACTTAGCTCATCCCTTGCTTTGAGATAAGATGAACTAGAACTAAACCATGCCTGGAAAAGGCAAGCTAATCTGTTCTTAAAATGCTTTCCAATGATGGAGTCTCCATACTCTCCCCAGGCGATCCACTGTGGTTCTTCACTACCATGGCCTTTTTATTTCTAACTCAAATCTTGCTGTAATTTAAATCCATTATTTCCTGTCCTACCCACCATGGATGAGGAGAAAAGTTTATAGTCTTTTTCCTTGCAGCAGTCTTTTATATACTGGAAGACTGTTCACACCTTCCCCCTTCAGCCTTCTTTTCTGTAGGCTAATTAACCCCAATTAATTCAATCTTTCTTCATGGGTCATATTTGCCAGAATGCTGATTACTCTCATTACTGTTCTCTGGGCTCTCTCTTCCGGCTCCTGCTTCCTTTAAGCATCGTGCTATGGTAAAGGAAAGGAAGAAGGGAAGGGAAGGGAAGGGAAGGGAAGGGAAGGGAAGGGAAGGGAAGGGAAGGGGGAAGG